ATGCATACATACATACACACAAACATACCTACATACATACCTACATACATACCTACATACATACACACATACACACATACATACATACCTACATACATACATACATACATACATACATACGTACATACCATACCATACCATACCATACCATAACATACCATAACATACCATAACATACATGCATACTTAGATACAGACAGACAGACAGACAGACAGACAGCCAGCCAGCCAGCCAGCCAGCCAGACATACATACATACATACATACATACATACATGCATACATACATACATACATTTACATGCATTTACATACATTTACATACATTTACATACATTTACATACATACATTTACATACACACATACATACATACATACATACATACATACATACATACATTACGTACATTACATACATACATTCATTACATACTTTACATACATTACATACATTCCATACACTACATACTTTACATACATTACATACATTACATACATTACATACATTACATACATTACATACATTACATACATTACATACATTACATACATTACATTCCTTACATACATTACATACATTACATACATTACATACATTACATATATTACATAAAAATACACATACACGTACACATACACATACACATACACATACATACATACATACATACATACATACATACATACATACATATGTATGCATGTGCGTATGTACGCGTGTGTGAATGTATATAAATATACATGAATATACATATGTATGTATGCATGTATGTATATATGTGAAATGTACATCTGTATAAGCGGCTATGAACATGCAGGTCCACACACAGATACAGACACGTACATACACACACACACATGTCTGTGTGTGTGCTTATGTATGTATGTACGTAAGTATGTATGTACATATGTATGTATGTTTGTTTGTAATATGTAAGTTTATGTACTGTTTGTATGCCTGTATGCTGGTATGTCCGCATGTCCGCATGTCTCTGTGTCTGCTTGCTTGTCTGTCTGCCTGCATGTATGCGTGGTACAGCAATGTCATGCAGTCCAAAAGAAAATACCTCCTATCGCAATCTATAGATAGATATACATATTACTGGTATGCACATGTGTTTGGTGCAAGTACCTATCTTTGCACGTATGTAGGTTTGTGCTTATGTATACATGGGCCCTTGTGGCGACTGGCTCTACGTACCCATAGGCCGGCTTTCCTGTGTTCAAGTGATTTGGGCTGAAGCCGGATGGCCACTCGTCAGAACGCGGACCTCGAAATTCAGACGTAATGGTGAAGAGCCAGGTGCTATGCACCATGGACCCAGTGATTCGTCAAGCTGGGCCACATGTTGGAGTAGTGTTCCGCCAGGTTGGCCTGGAGTTCTTCGAGGTCCTTCCGGCAAAATCTTTGGACGATTTGGATCACTTAAAAAAGGACTCTGAAATGTAGAAGCTCCGGCCGAAGGTTTGGGGACCCCAATTGGGCTTGAAGCTTGGGCTGGCATTTGCCAAAGTCACAACGGCCAATGGGATGCATCTGGGCTTTGAGCAACAGTCTGTGGAGGTCTGTCTTTGGTTGGGGTTCATGAGTGTCCAGTCATCACCAACAAAACGGATTACCGAAGGCTTTGCTGGAGCTTAGAGTCGCGCTTTCTGCTATGAAGTGGCTGTGGACCTTCATCAAGTAAGAGTGCTGATCAAAAGCTTAAGGAAATTATGTCGCCAGAGCCAAAGCAGTTCACGCAAAGAGAACCGAAAAGAACAAGTAGTCTGCAACGGTGTTTTCGCAGTCGGATCAGTTGTTTGGGAGAAGGTGGGGCAACCAAGGTTGCTTCAGGGGGTTTCAGGGCATCTACAAGCTCATCATTTATGGTTCAGGGTCTTAGAGATGTCTACTTACCGTCTGAAAAGCCCGAGCAGTCCAGAGTCAGCTTGTGAGCATTGACCAGTCTTGGTCAAGCTCGGGCTACGGCAGTTCGGATCCCTGCCCGGAAAACCAAGATCCACAGACTTCCCACCTTCCTGGGCATCCTCCGGAAAATGACGGTTTCAAGCAGAGTTTTGGTGCAGAGTATCCTGTGGCTTTACGTATATCGTGATTTATGAAGGAATGATACTGCTACTGGTTGTCCCCGAAGCCTAGAAAACGGTGCATGGACAATCCGAAACTGTAGCTCAAGGCTCCTCCATCCGCGGAGCCGCCTGGGCAAGGCGACGGCGCTTGGAGATGAACCTTGAGGACTTGTCTTCTTGCTTTTTGCAGCTCAAAGTTCTGTTTCAAATCTCCGTGGGAATTGTGGAGTGATCGTCAACTTACTGTATCTAGTGAGTCTAGTTGCTGCTTTGAGGCGGGTGTTGATCTACGTTTGGGCGAAATGCTTCACTGCTCTCTGACTCAGTCACGATGATGCTCCAAAATTCAACGCAGGATATTCGAGCTTCATGGCTGAAGGACCAGACGTGGCCCAGAAGGATCCCAACATCAAAGACGGAGTGAAAAGGCACTGTGCTCACAGGGTTGGTGCCTCAACATGCCTGCCTGTTTGACGACCAGCCCCAGTATCCCTAAAAACACGCCGGCCCAGGGAACTCCTGGCCCTTCCGGAGCTTGGACTGCTTTGCGACGGTCTTCACAACGCCCCTCGCCTTCGAGCCGCAGGTTCATCTTAAGGGACAGAAGAGCCTGAAAGCCTCTAGCGGACTCTAGCAAGAATGCATGGCATCAGCTGCGCGCGCCAACCCAGCAAATCCAACCTTCAAGCCGGCCGGGCAACCCTCGCCTCCAACGCTTTCTGAGCAGGTTCATCCAGAAAATGTATAGACCCGCCAAAGATTGATTCTTTTGTGTACCACTTCGGGCTACTTTAAATCAATAAATCGGCCCGATTTTGTTTTTGGTTGTGTATTACTGATATTCGATGAGATAAAGTAAAATACAACATAGAAACAGCTGGATTTTCTATGTTATTCATTAATATTTTTAACATATCCAATGAATGCAACCTATTTCTACATTTACTATATTTAATATATTTGAAACAAGTCGGAACCTCATGCAATTATCTCGAAGGAGTTTTAACTCATATCGTATATTCTTCTGGATTAAAATTAACAGAATTTTAAACAACTGTTCAAGTCAAGCATACTTTCCAGAAACTTACCCCCTATTTTAAATGATACATATATTTGATAAATAAAATGACATCGGAAGCATTCTGTTTTACCTATTTAATTTGTATGTTTTCTGTGTTAAGTGAATTGGGTTGGCTTTAACTTAACGATTGACTTTATTCTGTATATTCCATACATTTAACATATTTAAGGCACTCATGGTTGGAGGAACCTCCAGGAAGCTTCTCAAACAAAATGTGTTCGTTATTCTGTCTGTGCTCAGTGTGTATATTTTCTGTAGTAAACAGATCCAATAAACAGACAAAGGTTTTAAAAAATAACTGAAAAACAACATAAAGTTTGAAAACACATAAAATAAACAAAGGGACCGTAGGAATGCGCTTTTCCCGGACTTTAGCGCTGTATTTTGCAGTATTTATGCAACATGACGCTTTCTGTTAACCTAAGAGGTACACTCCGGCAATCGTCCGACTGCCTGTTAGTTGAACGCCTCGGACTTTTCCTGCAGTTTAGACCCGGAAAGAACCAAACAACCCAAAAGAACCGAACAAAAACAAATTACCCGATGCTTTGGAAATTGGACAGCCTGAGGAAATGGTTTGCTTATGTAGTTCATTTTATTTGTCTTACGTATATTCTGTGTTAACGAAACAATGCAAAACGCACAAAATGCCTACAAATCGGCATCATTTCTTTTTCATTTGTTTGTAATAGTCTCTTTATTTCATGTATCGAAAATATTTACTATGTCATTTCGCTAAATAAACATATATGTATATATATATATATACATATACTCATATCTACATGAAACTGTTTAATGTAACATAATATGATATGACATAATAGAATCTAACATAATGAAACACAGCATAATAAACCATAAGATACTGCACTGAAACAAAATACAACAATAAAGCGCAAAAACATGATATAATATAACATAGTATCATATCATATAAAATCAAACTCGTAATATAATATATTGTAGTCTAGAACAGTTTAATATATTATACTAAAGCTGGGCATAGTATGGCATAGTATAGTGTACTATAGTATAGGATAATACCAAGTAGCGTAATATAGCGTAACATCGTAAAATGTAGTATAGTATAATACAGAGCATTCTATCTTTGTATATATATATATATATATATTTATTTATTTGTTTATTTGGTTCAATGTAGTAAAGTCTAGCTTAATCTTATATTATATAATATAACATAATACAACATAACATAACATAATATAACACAATAAAATTGAACAGAACAGAATACATTATAGCCAACTATAACCAGGTAACACTGTATTTTCTAATAGCATAAAATAAGAAGCATATACCATAATTTGGAATAAAAAGACCATAACAGAATAGGTATTTTTAGCACCCACATGGGGGGGAACAGAATAGGTATATATATATATACAAGATTATGTATATTACGACTTGTGCGATGCCTAATGTATCACACACAGCATGTAGCATTCAATTTTTTGATCTTGGTCTACAATACAAACTTAGAGTTGACAAAATTACAGGGCACATTGTGTCATGACATTGTGTTGCAGTATAGGATGATATGATATATCATGACAGAACAAACACGAGAAATAAAAAACAACTAAAAAATGTAAATAAAGATGTACGTATATATATATATATATAATGTAGACACACACATAATATAAATATATATATATATATGAAATTAATATGAAATAAGCTTTAAATACAAATCTAACAAAAAACTGATAGAATACAATAGAACAGAATGCTAACAAACAGTGGTAATACAAAGTTAAATTGGAATAGTACTGGTATACTGACTGTCTATAAAAGGTAAGCCCACACTCTGGTGCGATAATGCAATGAAACAAACCGCAACAGCAAAAGTCGTTGAAGGTATATGCTGAGGTTCAGCAGACAAAGCCCGACCCCACAAACCCACTAAGCCTCCACAATGATTCGTAGGTCTCAAGCCCCGAAAACAGCAAACCCTCGAATCTGTCGGACTTGGATAACAATGGCAACCGACACGAGTCACGACAATGGTTCCCGGCTCCAGTACCCCTATCAGGTTTGACCTCAACCACAGAAAAAGGACGCAAAAAACGCAAACCCAGTCGCGGGTGCTGCCGCCTTGGACAGCTGCGGCTTCTTGGCCGCCGCTGCAGCCCTTCGAGGCGCCTGGTCCACCTGATAGAGAGATGGTGGTGAGGGCATCGAAACCTGAGGAATTGTAGCGCCGCCAGAATGCTTGACCAAGCTGGAGCATTGCCCTCAAGCGCTTACAGAGGATAAAGTTACAGGAAAAACACTGAAATTTCCAACGACGCGATCATCAGAACCAGGGCAATCACCGTCATATGTCGTCATCATGACTGTCATCATGTGAAACATCCAAGGACAATCTGCATGGGCTTTACCACTGCCGTGCCAGATCCTGCGCATTCCAAGAAAAGAAGGCCGATAAGCTGGCCCCAGCCCCTGCTCGCTGGAACCGTGAAACCTAAAACTTAAAGCCTCAAGCCCCACGACCGACCCCCCAGACGATCATGGGGCTTCCAAGGTCCTAAGCCATCCGTTCCCAGCAGGCCCCACCTGTAGCCGCTGTTGTGCAGAGCTGAGGTGCGCGACCATGGAGCCTGAGGAGAGAAACAGTTCGTGGGAGCTTGCAGCATCCGAATTCATCCCTCTTCTCTCATGGCTATCATGGCTTGCAGGGCTGCCTCTCCCAGAGATGAGGGGTAAGACACCGCAAGTCCAGCTTTTCTGGTTCATTTTGGTTCCTTGACCTCATTTCAGGGCAGACTGGCTTGATGTTCGGCTCGTCTGCGCTGGACATCAACGCTTCACATTGGCAGCGGCCTACCTCCAGAAAAATTCGAGGTCTTCGCCCCCCAGGTTCTCTACGCGAAGAAATCTAACCATCTTCAACATGCCAGGTATATCGGCCCTCGAGCCCTCAATTATTCAAGTTTGACATCTGAGGGACGTCCGGCATGTGCTGCAAATAAGCCTTGAGCTGGGGTAAGCTTGCAACCGCATGCTCTGAACTTCGGCAGGTGCCTGTGCCAATGCTCCATGGACCCCGAACCGCAAACAGGAGTTTCAAGTCCCTCTTGTTCTGCAAGGAGCCCAGAAGATTGCGCCCCCGCTGCTTCTGGGCTCCGTCCTCCACCTGGCGAATTGATCAGATATGAATTCATGCATGCGCGAATAACAAGGACGCATCCGGGCCGGTTCAGCCACGTGGAAGCAGGCACGCTCCTCCACAAATCCTTTTGTGGATACTATAAGTGCACGACGCACGACGCGACCCATGCACTCCCTGAAACTCACTCATTCACCACCGTCTGCTGTGAAGACAAGAGGGAGTGGCAAACTGCTGCAATCCTCCTGCGAGCGGGTCCCGTCTCAATATGCGCTCGAGGGGAGAACGCCAAAGCTCCGGCCCACACCCACCCCGGAGGAGGCCATTACGTTACTTGCCGCAACTGCTGCTACTGCTACTACGACGACAATGACGAGTGCCATACCAGCACCGGGTCGCATAAAAGTGTTTGCCCACAAGCCCACCTGCCTCGACATCTACCCGGCGCAGCAGCTTCGGCCGCGGAGCTCGCGCCAGCTCCTGCTTTGAGAGCTGCATCAATCGCGCAAGGACAGAACTACCGAACAGCAAGGACTCACTCCTGGGAAAACCGTGAAGTCTCAGGGTGGTGAACAGCGTTTCCGGCCAAAGCCCTATGCAATCCGGAATGCACCTGCAGCCCAACTTCCAAATACCCCTTCGCCTTCACCATTGCTAACGCGGTGCGCAAGCTTTTCAATCCAATACACCCCAGAACCCCCAATCTTCTATGGAGAATGCCAGTTGTTCTCAGCCTCAATCTTTCAAGAAAGGCCCAGTCAGGAGTCTCGTAAGTGACCGATTTTTCAATTCACGGAATAAGCAAAACATGCGTAAAACTAGTAGAGTTCTCCAGCACTGAATGCTCGGGCGACAGAGTGCCGTTGGTGGGCGACTTGCCGGCACGGGGCTACAGATTTTGCATGTTGGTCGGGAGGTTCGTGCCTGAACGCACCGAAGCTTGTTCTTTGAGATTGGAGCCCAAGGCTACCCGAAATCTGACACACTAAACGCGCGAACCGGAAGTTAAGACACAAAGGCCCCCACCAAGACGCCAAATTCGCTGGCAGGCGCTTTCGCAGATTTGCCATATTGATATGTCTGAAAAAAATTAAACACCCGGGCAGCCCACTGTGATGTTGCATGATTTTCAAGCAAAATGGAGCACGACTTTCATGGTTGGCCCATGGGTGCTGTGGTACTCGGATGGGGTCCGACTGGACCCTGTCATGGTCGGATCATGGGTGCGGTCTGAGTGAGTGATACCGATACCATGGTTCGCTCATGGGTGCGACTTAACAGCTGGGTCGAGGGGAAAAATCTAAAGGCTCCAACCCAACCTCTATCTTCAACCCTTATTTAAAACGATGCTACCAACGCCAGGGGACCTCGGTGTTAGAAGTCGTCGCGACCACCAACTTCGCCCGAGGCTTTGCGATGGACCCTTGGCGTGACGGTTCAGTCCCCTTGCTTGCGATGAGTCTTTCTTTGAGTTTGCGCTAGGTTTTGCACCGCAAGGCCTGCATCAAGCGAGCCAGTGTTTTGGCCAAGCTTGACGGCAGCCTGAAAGAAGACTGATGTAGGAAGCTTCTGCCTGTAGTCTTCCTGGCAGGCTTGAACTGTTGTTGAACTAACACTATAGTCACTATACTCTGTATGTTGGAAAATTCTCACACAAAAGAGATAACTCCGGAGAACATGCAACAACCAACAACTGCAACAACCTGCAAAGAAACCAACCCCCCGATTGTACATACATCTACATGTTGACTCGTCTAGAAGACCTGCAGATCAGCACAATTGTTCGAAGCCGTGTCAATTTGACACGGCTTCGAAAAATTGTGCTGACAGTGTTAATGTCCCTACTTGTAGACTAACCCATACACACAAACAATCATTTCTAAAGTCTGTCTTTTCTGGTAGAACGAAACTACAATCAACACTCGTAGGGTAGTTCAATGCTCTGCACGCACTCAGGAATAGCAACAAGCAGTCTGATTTAACCGTCCCTCAAATCTAACTTCAGTCAGACATATTCATAAGTAGACAAACTGGCAGATACCGAGGCAGACAACTGTGATACTTCGGCATTGATTCGGTTGTAATTTGCAGCTAGATGTCTAGCATTGTGTAACTTTGACTGGCAGGGATGAGCTGTTGCAGAAGGAAACCGAAAGGCAGAGACAGAGAGAGAGAGAGAGTTGGTCCACGTCTGTGCTAGATTCTTCTCACCAGTCCAAATTGTGATCACACGGGCCTGCATGAGCTTGTGCCAAACTGCCAGACATGAGCAAGTGCCACTGCCTGTTTACCTACGCATCTGTACGGATGTGCGCTGCGTCACACGTAGACGTCGATCTGACCATCGTATTGAAGCCAGGTCTCCGTCAATCTTGGTCACCTGCATTCTCTGGAGAATCTGGTGAACGGAACACTTCCCTTCCCCCCAAAGTCCAAAGCAACCTCCGAAGGATCTCAGCTTCAGAAAAACGATCTGCTGATCCCCGCCTTAGCGAAATGAAAGAACCCCGCTTCATCCCTTGGCCCAAATTTGCTGAATGTAGTCAACCAATCCATCAGTAGTCGTACATGTATACATACATGTATATGTATCTATATCTGTATGTGCATACATTATGGAAACTATAAATATATATATATATATATATGCAACCATATCTTTGTGCGCTGTGCGTTCTGCGCCCCCCCTCTCCGGGGAGGGTGGATGATCACATGAACCAAACCAGCCAACCACGCAAGCTCAAGGCCCACCCGTATGCCTCCCCCCCGCCCCACAGCAGCCAAGCCAAGCCATGCTTCTCATCCGAGCAGCAGTCACAGGGATGGTGCTCGTAACTGTCGACGTTCTTTTGGAACTCTCGCGCAAAATAGCGCAACCCCCCCCCCCTGGCCACACAGATGATAATGATGGCGATGATGCTGAGGACAATGACACTACAATGACGCTGATGTGCTTCTTGCGCGCTGGCGTGCCGAGTGTGACTGCTGGTAGCACCTCTGCTCTTATGCTGTTAGGTGCAGCATGTCCTGTGATTTTATTTCATGTGGTTGATTAACCTTCATTCATGAGCAAGGGACCGGAGAAGCGTGCGGACGGGGATCGTGATCACCATCTTCGATGGAGGGACAGGGGGGAACCACAGGGGGAAGGGGGATACCATGGGTTGGGGGGAGGCGGGGCCTGGCAGCGCTGCACCATATATAGGCACATTTCCACCAATATATATATATATATACACACATACATGTATATATGGATGGATAGATACATAAATATAGATGTATATATATATAGAGAGAGAGAGAGCCAAATGTTCTTTCAATAGAATGTATTAAGTTCTATAGGGTTCTATACGTCCTGTGAATTTTGTGTCTCTTTTTGCACAGCAGCACAGTAGCAAGTGATGCACTTCAGTTTTGCGGGTCTGAGTTGTGAGCGAGGGCTTGCATTACAGTCTTACGGGATCTTTGGTGCGGGAACCTGAACGGACAGCTGAGGCCCTGAACCCCTTATCTTTTACCTGTCCCACACCGTACAGTCCTCAAAGCCCAAATGGCCAGCAACCCGAACATCTACTACATCGATCCGAAACTATCTCAGACAGACCCAGTATGGCCACAAAGGTGAAACATGTAGTGCTCAAGATCCGAACTCTGCACCTCCGCGCCATTTCCCCCGGACACCGCCTGCCAAGCAATGTGCAAGTCGAGACATACAACCGCAAGAATAGCAAGAGTAACAATGATCTCATATTTCTCTACTTCCTGCTCGTGCCCACCTCAACCTTGGCATGGTCATGGTGATGCTTCTAACCATACAGGCAGTATGTCAAATTTTTTGCGAGTTGTGAAACCACGCCAGCCTACTGAAACTCGCAGCGCTACCAGATGCTCAGTACATAAAGTGTATGCATTGTATCGTTAGTCTTGCCGTCTAGTTCTGGTATGGACAGGAGGAACGGCAGCAGCAGAAGCCGCCTCCCCCTATATACTAGCGCTCCTACTCTCCTTGTTTGGGGATTGAAGAAGAAATCAACATCTGCCATGACTGCGTCCCATCATCGGCAAAATGAGCGGATCGCAAAGCCCCAGAAACGCACGATCCGGCTTGAAATTCCCCGTCCACCGAAGCTCCTAAAAGATCAGAAGGTACCTGGCCTTCACCACTCCAGGCTTCTGCAATAACGGCGCTCGCCGCTCCTGGCAAGAAGCCCAAATGTGCATGGCACAGGCTGGCGACTGGAGTCGTTGAGCTTGCAAGGCTTCATGAAAGCTGATAGCTTTAACTCAGACGCTCGCACAAAGCTGGCATGGCGTTATGGGTCTGAGCTCCAGCTTTTGGTTGTATCATGCGCTTGGTGCCATGCCCCATCCCGAGTCCTGATCCGCCCCACGCAGGGGCAGCCCCAAGCGCCGGAAGGCCATCGGGAGCGACGGATAAACAACGCGGCTCTGGCGATAACCCTAGCACTAGACTTTTGACGAGGTAGGACGAGATGACCGATGCGTTCCTGAGTTTCGGGACGTGCTTCTTGGGGGTCATTTCGGCAGCTGTCCAGGGCGTGTCTTGCCTGTGCACAAAGGATGCTGGCAGGAATCTACAAGCCGGAACCAACTCGACCAAGTAGCCCAAGCCACACTACCAAGCCACATTTATCGAAGCTGCATTCGCCTATCAACAAGTCAAGACTTGTGCAACTTGTGCTCTTGACGCCTACGCTCGTGCTGTCATTGTGCTCTCCTATGGACGCATCCGTGGCACACCGACCCGAGCCTCTGCGGGCATGGAACAAGCGTGATTTTTTGCCGTGCTTATACCAGTCGAAATGCATGACACGCGCATGCACGAGCACACACACACACACATGCACCAACACCCTACCTTTGCTCCGCCAAGCATCCCGAAGACCGAACCCGGAACCATCCTGCATGTTTACGTGCATGTCCACAGACAAGCCAAAACCTCTGTCTCAACGAGTTGCTGCGAGTTGCGATGATGTCATCCAATTGACTATAGAATTCACTAGATACCTTACGAGTCGAGTTTAGACCTTGAGGGAATTTTGAGAGAGCCGATCCTACCACTGTCGTGTACAGGCACGAGGCTTCGGGCTCACTCCCAGCTCCAAGCTCGCTAAACCTCGAACTTAGACGACTCCCAACGCCTGCGTTCCAATCCATCAGGCTCAACGGAACTTGCGAACCCCATCGAAAACAGTCACAGACCAGACTTGCCCAACCAATCTCGCGGGTGGGAATTCCCTCTTCGCACCTGCTTCCCAGACAAGCCTGATTGCCCAAGCTGAAGCACCCGACAGAGGACACAGAAAGTCATAGAAAAGCCAGTTAGAGTCCTCAAACATGCTCTAGACATCCAACACACTCGCTGGAAGTTCGAAGCCACCCCATCGGAATTTCTGCCTAGACACACATTGGTGGAGGTGGTGGTGGTGGTGGTGGTGGTGGTGGTGGTGGTGGTGAAGGCAACCTGCAAGAACTGTTGCCGGCCGCACTGTTCCCCACACCCGAACAAGGTGGCAGGGAAGAAACCCGTCTTAGTGTCGCCCTGCGGTCCCACCAACCTAAGAGGCCGCCAAGCACCCAATGCTCCTTTAGGCCCACGGGGCCTAGACACGCAGTCGATGCTATCCCAACACCCTAAACGGCCCTGAAGCTCCGCAGTACCAGGCCCTGCAGCCACTTTTTGAATCGGATCCAGGATCTAGGAGATCGCTTGGCCCTATGTACACGCGAAGCAGGCATCGCTTAGCGAGCCCGCCCCTTCTTCTTTGGCGACTTGCCAGCTCTCGCCTGCGCCAGCTTCTTCAGCTGTTTGGCCGTGAGGCGGGAGAAGGTCACCTCAGGTCAAGACATGTGTCCAACCTGAAAACCCATAGAATTGGATCCTCATGGGGGCTTGGCTCTGGTGCAAAGCTTGGGTTTGTTGAGACTTCTGCACCATGGCAGCCACAAAAATGCAAGAGTGATCTGCTGCGATTCTCTGAGCATCCGTTAAGCACGACCATCAGATTGGATCCCGAGCCCGAAGACCTGTAAACCCTAGCTAGCCCTGCGGAGGCCATATCATGGCCCGGAATCCCACATCGATGCTCGAGCTGCCTCGTAGTGGAAAGACTCTTCATCGCACTTCGCCATGTGGGACCTCTCGCGGACTTGGCATCGCAACTCCTGCATTGGGATGCATAGTGGCATCGTGGTCTTCTGAGTTGTTGAAATCCTTCTTCAATTTGAGCGCATACGGGGTCAGGCGGCTTTGGTGCGGGAGCTAAACTCTCGTAATTCAGATGACTCCAGTCAGAGATTCTGTGGGCTCGCGCGATCGACTCAGATGGCCATTCTCAAGGTTGCCGGAAATTCGTCTTCTGCATCTTCGTGTAGTAGGTTAAACCTTTCTGATGAAGTGAACGTACGGCCTCCGAACTCTGGAAACAAAAAGCCACCAAAGCCCATTCTAACAACGAGATTCCGAAGAACACGCTCCTCCAGGTCCCAGGAGCGCAGGGTGGCGTCGCGGGATCCTGAGCTGATAGCACTGGGCAAAGGCTTGGGTACGCTTGGAGTGGGACTGAGTGGGTACGTGGTTCTCAGCATGCCCTGCTTTTGTGGGTTGCCTCTGCATGTCGTTGGAAGGGGGCCCCGGCCGTTTTTTGTCGAAAACTTGTCGTTGTTGTGTTGCCCACCGCCCCCGCCGCCACACGAAAGGTGCTACACTTTTTCCGCACGCCAAGGCATATGCCGAATCCCACCAAAATCAAAAAAGGTGCGGGTGCATGTTGCCCTTGTAGCATGAACTCGGAAATTGCTCGAACTTTTTGGGAGTACCAAACACGCTCCAAACGCGCACTGTTGCGTTGGTCCGGCCAAAACTGCAACACGAAAAGGGCCCCCATTTTACACGCAAGATCCCCCCCACAGAAGATGTGTCTGGATCGAGGGTTGGGGCTTTGAGCTGTCTGACGGCAGAGTGGCACTTTCCTTGGTCTGTGGCGCAAAACCCCAAGACTGAACAAGCCAACGCACAAACCCCTGCCAAGGAGCCGGTCCAAAGTAGCCCCTCGCTCCAGGCCACGCATGCCTGAAGATACAATTTTCGGAGTCGCGACTTGGGATTATGATCAGCCGGGTGCCCGGGTCCAGCCGTACTGGGATGGGCCGGGATATGGGCATACAACAGCAAGCCCCAGCTTCGATCTATCTAATGGCGACATAGGCACGGAAACAGGCCCGGCAGCATGGCCCCGGAAATCTGCGAGCATATCGCCAGAGTTGGTGTCCCAAATGCGAACCAGCTTGTCATCGGAACAGCTGAGCAACCAGTCCTCCACTTCTGGAATCACGCGGTCGTAAGATGCAAAACTTATATCAAGTGACTTGGAGCTCTAAGTTGAATGTTCTTGGAGCTAGCGCTCAGGCCTTCGACACAACTCTTCATCCGGTGCATCCTACCTCGTCAACCCGAGTCAACCTGTAACATGTTTCGAACACTTCCTGGATGACAAACATGTCCACCACATGGCTAGTATGCGCTTGCCACGACAGGCGCTGGTGCATCAGTCCTTGCTTGGAACAGGTCGAAGTAAAGCTAGTTTCAGCAAGCTTCGCAATAAACTAAATGCTAACGGCGGCTAACCCCTGCACATCGAAGCCACTGAATCCAAGAGCAGCAAACATTTAGGAAACTGCCAAGGTGGAAGGATGAGATGCCCGAAAACGTCCCCAGGCCCATTGTTCCAGAGACGCCCTGCGGGGTAACAGAGACGGACGGCGCCCAGCATGAGATAACACCATCGTCAGCACCAACGAAGAACCTGGACAATCCTACAAAACGTCATGCGATCAGATACATCTTGCTGTCGATGCTCTGCGTGTTTGTCGCATGAGCTCTCTTCGCATACAACACTTTTCGGGATTAAATATGAAGTATCAAATGCACAACGTGCCGACTGATTTCTCCTGGCGATGTAGTGTTACTCATATTCTTGCTCAGATGCCTTCTTAGACGTCTTGGTGGCTATTGCAAGTTCTTTTCATTTTCCCTGAACTTGAAGGACCTTATGCAAGAGGTCATGAAAGCAACTTCTTAGGAACCGCACGGCACGGTCGCTGTTCACTAAACGAACGAAATCAATCAATCTCTCGGAGATCCAGGAGCTGCCAGTCGCTGTCGCCCTTCTGACGCCACTTGCACAGGGACCGTACCTGATTTTCGGTGACCTGCACCGCTTTACAACAGATTCGGTCGCGAAGGTCGACCACACGGACCTGGCCGTCCCACGTAGCAACCGCCGCTTCAGTCGGTGAGAGCAGGACCATGTCTGCCACAGGGTTCCGCACTCCAAGCTCTAGAACGCAGAGGCAGTAGCCCCTGCCTTCGCCTCCGATGCCAAGCCCGACACCTGTGTACCATATTCGGATCGTTCCGTCCATAGAAGCAGATGCCAAATCTTGCTCTTCTCGTGCATTGAAAAGCTCGTCTTGCGGCTCATCCTCCCGGCCGAAGGTGCCTTAACCGCAGAGTCAAGAAAACAAAACAGCTCCTGCCGCTTGCCTGAAGGAAGCATTCTCCGGCTGTCCGGTTGTGGGAAAGATGCTTTTCGAAGCCAAGCCACTGAGACACCGTGTCAGCGTCACTGGTGCCGAGTGACCAGGCAATTCTGCAAGAAGGGCACCCGTGGCAGACCAGATGCCCACACAGCCGTCCACAAGTCCAGCATAGAGCAGGCTAGGAGGGACGACAGAACACTGGGAGGCATCTAGATCCCAGCATGTTGCTGAAGTCCGGGCGGTGTCGCTTGTAAGGCTCGCAATGCCCCCAGTGTGCCTCTGCACCCCTGCCAATGCGAAGTCGTGATGTGGAGAAACAATGGCGCCTCAGCATGTTCCTAAGCAAACACCTGGGTCAGCTAGGTCAGCGACATGATCACGAATTTTCTTCCTGTCGATGATATGTGATGATATGTAGGATTTTATCAGCCCTACCCCACAACTCAACAACACCAGGGTCACCTGGTGGAGAGAGCAGGTAGACTCGCACCAGTCCATCCGCAGAGGCCGCCATAAGAAAACGCCGTTCGAAAGCAGCCCCTTCCACCTGGATCAGATACAGCAGCACAAGTCACTTAGATGATGCGACGTATGGCGCCGAATGGTGGCATATTCAACCTGTGCAATGTAGAGCCTGTTCTAGAAGAAATGAAAGCATGCCTGTGCTTGCACACGCGCTTGTAAACAGAAAAATGCATGCATGCATGCATGCATGCATGCATGCATGCATGCATTTTGCTGAAGACGAGGATAAGTGGTTCAAGTAATTCCCCTCATTATTCATTGCAGAATCGTCTGGCATTTACTTCCATCTTGCAGTGAAGTAGAGTATTCTATCCTCCTGGAAAAGTACGTGACTGAGGGACAAGGATCACCCAGTGGAGCGAGCCTTTCTCGCCGGTTCTTTCTTTATACTTTCCTTTGCATCCAGAAGCCCTAAAGCGACGGCGATGCAAGAAATGGATTAGATCGTGTGTGCGTACCCTCCTTGGGAACTTTGATACGAAGAATGCGTCGGACCTCCCGCCTACACCCATCGGCCCCTCCAACACGCAGCTGGCCGCACCTCTTCGGAGAAGGCTTGAACAAACAGCACAGCGTCAGCGTGATCGCACCTGGAGTGCCGAGAGAAACCGAAGGCTCCAAGGTTTCGTTGAATTCATCTGTTGACTCTTGGCAAAAAGTCCCGCCCACAGCTCCATAGAGCTTCTCACACTGGGTCATATGGCACACTCAGTGCTGTGCTGCGGTTTAGAATTCTGCTGCCAGTCGATGTTTCGCTTGTTGCACTACTATTTCCGCGACCCTGGACAGCTAATTCGACAGGCAACCCCCCACAACCCGACACCGGAGACTGTCAACGGTCACCTACTCTCAGGGGCCATTGCGAAATTGCCTGGACGCCTTTTTTTTGCTTCGGGACTCCATGGATTTGCCCGGGGCACAGCCGCTTTGCTTTCAGCAGCCATGCCAAGAAAACAACAACCTGCTGGACGCCTTAACCCAGCCAAAGCCTATCGCCGCAGCTCTCGCCTGCTGAACGTGAGAGTGTCAGGTTGCCGTTCCCACCCGAGCAGAAGCAACACCACTCTGGCGAAGCAATCCCTGGTCCTGATTACTTCTGCCAGAGCTCTGAACCTGAAGAAGCTACAATGATCCTCTGCATGTCGAGGGCACAGTCTGTCTCTCCACGGCTTCCATTCGTGCTTCTTCTTGCTCCTGTGCTTAACCTGGACAATCACTTTTCACGTGGTCTTCGGTATGTCAGGTGTGATATCTTCGAATACGCTTCATGTGTCAGACCAAAGGGTTCCTAGTCCTGGCAAACTCATGCTCTTTGCCAGCACTCTGACGTGTGAGCTATTGCGACCTAACCCTCCGACTCGCTCGCTCGCAGCGGCGATTCATGTCCTGTGTGGATGCAATACGCTTCTGTACTTTACCAGGGCTTGCAGGCATAATTCTAAGCACAAATGAGAAAGCTTCACCAGCCGGTCGTGTACCTCGAACCTAAAGTGCGACTCCCCAACCGAAGCACTCGTGAAAAGGCACGATTGCTAAAGATGCACCCACTGGACCTTCTTGGCATTGCGGGCATCGAACAGGACCTGGCTGCTGCGGCACAACAGGGCATGCCGACCCGCACACCCACTAGTAGCGTTAATATCGAGACCAGTGTCAAAAGTTGTGTCAATATTCTGATTAGTAGGTAATGATGGCAGTAGTGTCAAGGTGGCGATGGTGGCGGTAGAAGTAGTTGTAGTTGTTTGTCCTGGTAGCAGCAGGAGGACGAATGATTAGCTGGAGCGGGAGAAGTAAGACTGGTAGTGGCAATCACCTTGAACCACAACCCGAAACACAAACCTCTAGCACTAGTACTAGTACTAAAGTAGCAGAAGAAACAGCAACAGCACTAGTAGGAGCAGTAGGAGCAGCATCAGCAGCAGTAGTCGTCGTCATCGTCGCAGTCGTGGTGCATTGCAGCTGCTGGATCTCCGAAGATCTACAACATTCCACAATCGAGCAGCAGAGATTCTTGCAAGAATGAAAACATCCATCTGACAAAAATCCAGGTGGAATTTGCTGCGTTTCTCTAGAACCTTGGGCCCTAAGGCCCTACAGCTACACCTCTCGTCTATTGACTAGTGACCCGCGACTAGTGGCTAAAACCTTAAATGAAGCCTTGAGTTGGAAGATTCCCAACACAGAACAAAAACTCCCCCTGAACATCCAAGGACGTCGAGGCACGTCGTGACCCGGCTCGGGACGCTGGTCTTCAGCATCCTCTTGGAAGCTTGACATGTGTAGGTTAAGAGAGAAATCCTGGCATGTTCTTGGCCTCGCGTCTTCGAAGTTCAGAAAAGCTGTTTGCGCAGTCACCCTGAAGCCACACTGCCCTCGTCTGCATATCCCTACTTTGAGTGCGAAGCAGGCAAGGAGAGCACGTCCTGGCCGAACTCCATGGCACCGCTTTGGCTTCAAATTGCTGGCAGCACTCAAGCCGAAAGGGCATCCAAGCACATAGAACCAAAGTGCTGAACCCAGTGGCTCTGAAATCGCGGGTCCTTCTGGTACCCTAGACCCTCCGAAGTACACATTCAACGGCAGCCAGCAGCAGCGGGACAGACTCCTTCCCGAAGTTCGGGCAGAAGGTAGTCAGCTTGAATAGACATAATACTGGTTTCAGCAGGACGACCTTGTGAATCACTCTGAAGCCACGCCTAATCCAATGTTACTGAATTTCTTTCAAGCCAGAGGTGGAAAGCATGATGCCGAAATCCTGCTCCCACTCTCCAGTAAAGGTCTTGATCATAGTCATAGTTCGGCCCCGGTTCCAGGCTGCACACTTATCATGATCAAGCGACGACTGAAAACACATGAAGGCTCTCGGTGCCACGGGCCACGGGCTTTGACATCAGGTTTGTTTCAGGGCTGGAAGGCATGCAGTGTTTCGAAATTGAAAGATCGAAGATACCGTTACAGGCCTTGGGCCTCGTTCTTTAGCATCGGAGCAGTGAAGTATTGGAAAAATCGCACGTGCAACGCCAGTCGAACACGAACTTTAAACCAAACCCTACATCCCAAACAGAGTTGCTAGCCTTGCAAAGCTCTGGATCGAAAAATGACATTCTCCAAGCCACTAGCCCTCCTTAAACCCTCCCACTCCAAAGCCTTTCAAGAACCTTCAACCACATTCTGAATCCAGCGGTCTTTTGGCACAGTAGCACTGTGGTAGGCAGAGAATTGAAAGGGAATCCCAGGCGAGGAGAGCGACTTTCCAGGCTTGAGGACAAACGTGTACGCAGCTATACGTGTGTCGACACATCCGCCAAGAACGACGTGCGAGCATACATCAGTCCCGATACGTAGGCACACAGCAGACATCCGTTCAAGAATGCATCCTAGAGTGGCTTCAGCATGAAAATAGGGTTGTGGGCATCTTATACCATCACGTAACTTTGCACGGACAAAATGCCGCGTCATTGTCACTAATCACCCCCTGTACTATGTCTAGACATGCTCAGGTCTGTGTATACATTCAACATGGCAATCTAGCAGAGCTAACTAGCTGAGCTTTTGGATCACTTGCTACTGCTTTCACTTCGGTGGCATGTTCCGCGCTTCTGACTTTCTTCGGAGTCTGATCGGGTTCACCGAAAGTTTCAATCGAATTTCACACAGAAGTGTTGATTCGATGTTAGGAGGGCCGACCGTTTCCCGGTCGGATCTCGCAGAATGAAAACACAATAAGTGAAATGACTAAAGGGCTACGGAGGGTGGGAGATCAAAGGTTTCAATGCGAAGCCTATACCAAATTGGCAACGGACTGCAACAAGTTCGAAGTGATCGACCCAAGTACATCCACGGAGCCGATCGGTGATTGATGAAAGCAATGGGTTGTCATTTCGCACAAGTGCGCTACGCAACAACAGGAGCTTTCACCAGTACAGCACAGATCCCCGCTATGCGCTCCTTTTTCCAACTGCTCGGAGACATCCCAAGCCGGGAAGAATCGTAGTACAGCGTGAAGCTGGTGCCAAAACGCCAACTCATCAGTCGGAGGCGGAAATCGGCCATCGCATTGTAGATGTAGTCGGCGGCCTCTGCGCGGGAAATCTGCCGGATCTTGCCCCCGTCGGCCATATCATAGGCGAAGTGCCTGCTGTAGCCTAACCGCAAATCTCATCGGTTCAGCGAGGGTAAAGCCGTGTTGACTCCAGCAACTCGTCGGATAACTGCAAATCCCTTGGAACCACTCATGACAGATCAGGTCGGGGACAATCCATTTATGATTCAGGAACTCGGGATCCAGATAACAGCAGTTGGTCCGATTTTTGCAATGCTTGAGCTCGGGCAACCGAGGACACACCTGCATTCGAGCGTTCTTCAAGTAGATGACTTCGGTAGAACTCACCTCGTCGGTCAACTGCGACAGCATTCTCGGCGGGACAGTGGCATTCTCAGAGAAAGCCTGCCTGGAGGCGACCTTCACAAAGGAACTCAAACCAGGAGTTGCTTCGCCGGGCTGCCATGACTTCGCAGCAGATCGAGGATCGAGAAGGGACAAAACAGAACAAATATTTCAATTCGAAGCCTATACCAAAACGGCAACGGAATGCAACAAGTTCGAAGTGATCGACTCAAGTACATCCACGGAGCCGATGGGTGATTGATGAAAGCAATGGGTTTTCATTTCGCACACGAGTGTTCTACACTACAGCTGACGGACGGTCGGAAGAGCATGTCACAGTATGAGGTTTGATGGCTCAAGGCTGAGATGACACGACCGTTTGTAAGGAACGCGCTTCAGGGTCAGGGTCAGGGGCTTATCGGGTTACCTGTAACCCTCCAGCAGACTTGTTCCTCTCTGGTGCCGGGGCCTTCTTCGGACTCTCCCTGTCGGTTGGGGTGGGTGGATGGGAGGAGTGCAGTGGCAGACGCCCGTCCTTCTTGCAGATGCCGTCTATATTCATGTCCAGGCACATGCTATCTGTTTGCAGGTCTGATACATGC